CATGAGGGTTTCAGTCATAGCCCCAAATGCAAAGGAAAATAAACACATGGACATGAACTCAAGGCAATTATCCATCAGAGATCCAAGTATTCATTATGAACGGATGTGCAAATAATACACACTCACAGCACAAATGGTACTTCTAAGAGAAAGATAACATTATCTGCTTGTTATTTTATATAATCACAATATTGATGCACCCCATCTGCTGCTACATTGTGTAGAACACATATTAGGAGAATTTTTAAAATAAAAATAATAGTTTGACAGTAAATATAAATAAATTAACAAACAAACAAACACATCAGTAAACACAAAGTCATTTATTGTGGCAAATACATGCTGTGTAATTATATGCTAGCCTGGAAATGCAACAGAAATACTGTACCAAGCTGTTGTATAACAAATTAACGGTTAAATGTCTCTGTATGTATAAGCACTTGTTGTTGTTTGTTACCAGTGTGCATAAAATGTATATATGACTGCTTTATACAATTATAACCAACCATGCATGTAATATAGCCAAATGATCAATTATTTACAAAATATTTTGCATTCATTTTACACTCCTTGTAACCCTTTATGTCCGTTTAATGCAATGATTTTTTTAAATAATTAATTTTGTTGGTCATTCAAAATTTATAAAAGTAGATTTCCTAATCATTTTGAGTAATGGGTCTATTTCACATGTGTGTAATGCTATGACGCATGAATGTGGCTTGCCTATGTAAAAAAACACATTAATATACATACTCCTCTGCTGGTACCTGATAGCATGCAGCCCATGATATAGACAGAGCTCTTGACATAGTTATATGTGGTTAAACATACTGGGAAATTGTACTTGGTAGTTATATTGCTTAACGCACATGGACAGCAGGAGCGTTTATGATATTTATGAAAAGAGGGTCTGATTTCAATGAAAATAAATGAGAACGTGCTTTTTAAGCTAATTGGTGCACATTTATTTATTTATTTATGGGGGGGGGGGGTTGTTAATACCCCCATATTAGAGCCTTAGTGACATCCTTAATAGGTGTCTGCTCTGCTGGATGATAAAGTTAAAATAATTACGTAAAAAGCAGTAGTGAGGGCAGTAAATCTGCCCTTCGTTTTATATACAATGACACCTAGTAGCGGCTATATCAAATATTTATTTTGTTTCTATTAGTTCAAGGCCTTTTCAACCAGGAGTACAGGAGCCTGCGGAGATCTCAGCTTTACATGTTGTGAAAAATACCCACCCCAGTCCTGTCATTAGTTTGTCATGTGATCAAACATTAGTTCTGTTCATACCAATTTTGTGCCTTGTTGACTGTTTCTGTGCACTAATAGTGATAAATGACATCCTAATGCGCATTGCTTTTTCACTTTTCCATCTTGGTTTGGGTGAATAAATGCAAGCAGAACGAACATTTAAAACACACCTTTGCCATATATTTTAGCCTCAGTGGGGACCTTGTTAAAAGGCACAGCTCATCCCAGGGGATGATTCCAGGGGTGGACATCAGTCAGAGTCAGTCAGAGGTGGAAGAGATTCACTGTGGGCCCAATGCATCAATATCTTTCACGCACACTCTGGTGTACCTTTATAACTCAGCCATAATGACCTTTGTGGTAGTCATAGCAACACTCATATGGTCAGAACTGTTACAGAATACAGATGCTCAGTCATCCGCTGCTGTCCTCTAGAAAAACAATCCAGAGTGAAACAGTCTTCTGTCGACTCTAAGCCCCGATCGAGGAGATAAAATGACTGATAACATAAAGCATGTCCCAGTGTTAGTAATTCTGATTTTACCCTTCTACGCTACAGACTTTCATTAATACATCCATTCATCAAAAGGTTGTATATGTTGTATATATAATGATGTATGAAAAAAATATTCCTTTGCAAAATTTTCACTGCCTTCAGCAATGATTAATTATTCTCTTGGTTCATTACGATACTCCTTTTTTAGAATTCTCCTTTCATGCAAGTGAGCCGGCTACCAAATGCTGTAGTCATCTTGGTTTTCATAACATATCTGACCTAACACTATGGAATTCATTTGTCTGTTTCCATGACAACTACCCATGAAGGTAAGTTAGCCTAATTAACCTATTGCTGTTATGAGACTATAATTACAATGGATGATTTTATTTGCATTTTTGCAAACAATGGTTAATGCCACACTGTCACTGTTGAAAATATGCACAATAATCTGAACACATTAATCATTAAATTCCCACGTGAAGGAAGCACATAGAATTTAGTGTCAGTAAAGTGAGGACGAGGTCCCGTTTTGCAGATAAGATTTTGATAAATGTAGAATATTGTTTCAGCATGAAAGGAAAGTAATGAGTTTATACAAAATTTCTGTGTTCTGATTGAACATGTCCTTCAGCTTTTCCATTACAACGGGACTGTTACGGCTGTGTGCTGTGGTGAGATTTCAGTTTGAAAGCCTGGTGGGGGGGTGGGGGGGGGCACAGGGCGGGGTGAGGTTAGGGATCGGATGGTCCTTATCAACAATTCCGTCCACTTCAGTTCTCTCGACCTCAAATCCTATGTGGGAGAGCTGATTAAAAGATTGGGTGAGGAAGCATTAATATGTCTCATGTTTTTCTTCCTTCCGTCTTTATTCAACATCAGTTGGGGGAAAATATTCCTGTATTTCCTAATTAAATTCTTCTTATTCAAGAGTGGAAATTCTTAATTAGTAATATATTTACATTGTTACAGTATGCATTCTAAACCAAACACAGACTGTAAGGCTGGGGACTCGCCAATGTCCGACCCTGGCACTCAGCACTGGGGCTCCACAGGGCTGCCCGACCCTGGCACTCAGCACTGGGGCTCCACAGGGCTGCCCGACCCTGGCACTCAGCATTGGGCTCCACAGGGCTGCCCGACCCCAGGGCTGTGCGCTGAGCCTTCGTCTTTATTCCCTATATACCCACGATTGGGTACCAACACACAGGACAAATAAAATCATCAAGTTTGCTAATGACACCACTGTGGTAGGAATGATATACTGTACAATGGTGAGGAGTCTGTCTACAGGGATGAGGTCAGCAAATTGTCAGAATGGTGCTGCATCAACAACCTCAACACGTCCAAAACAAAGGAGCTGATTATCAGCTTGAGGAAGGAGGAAGAGGAACCTGCTTCTCTATGGAGACAGTGCCCTGCTTTAAACTCCACAGCACATACATCTTCCAGGACTTCACGTCGTCTCTCAACACAACCTCTCTGGTGAAGAAGGCACAGCAGGCTTCTACCTCTTAAGGATACTGAGGAAGGCTAACCTGTCCAGGCAGGTGCCGGTGTCCAGCTATCGCTGCTCTGTGGAAAGCAAACTCGCCTGTGGCATCCTGCTATGGCATGCTAGCTGCTCTGTAGCTGACAAGAAGAAGCTCTTGGGAGTCAGCAAATCAGCACAAAAAATTACCAACACCCAGCTACCTTCACTAGAGGACGTATACAGAATCCGATGTCTTTGACAGGCCACGAAAATCATCAGGGACCCATCTCACCCAGGCCCCCACCTCTGCACTCTGCTGCCCTCCGGAAGGAGTTACAGATACATTAAGACGTGCACTTCCAGACTACTGAAAAGCTTCTACCTGAACACTATCAAAGAACTGAACTCAGTTAAATAACTGTTCATTGCATCAAAGTGTTAAGTGCCCCCCAGTCTCACACCCATCACTGTCACCCAGGGCATCAATGAGATATAAGTACAATATCCTGGGGCAATTATTGTAAATGGAATTTGTTCAACATTATTTATATACTCAAACTCCCACTTTGTATATATGTATGCACACAGAAATACTCAAATTTTTTTGGCCCATATTGCTCATAATTTTACTTTGTATGTGTGTGTAGCTTAATATGCAGAGCTATGCTAATGTAGTGTGGAATCTGTTTCAGGGGACACAATTTCATTGTACATTCGTGCAATGACAATAAAAGGCATTCTGTTCTATTCTATTCTAAATACAATATTCACAGTTCAAACCATTCTACATACTGTATGTCCGAGCAGTCTTATACCCAAGGAATAAACAATTATAGTACTGATCAGTAAATGTTTGAATTGTTCAGCATATTCATCGTTGAATCATATTAATCATTAAGATTCCTGATAGTTTACACAGAATGACACAAGACCAATGACATTAATGAAATTCACCCATTTATAAAGGGTTTGATGAAAGAAAAGGCAAAAGATAATGATGGGGAAAAAAATCCAGTCCATGTTTTACTGTTAATTTTCCACTTGAATCAAGTGGATTTGGACAGTTCCACATGCGATGCTCTTAGGTATTTTTATGTGACGATTTTGTGCTGAATAGTTTATAGAATATGTTATGCGGTCAGAAACATGGTGTCCATGGAAACAGAAATATATAATTTCCAATTTCTGAGTGCTACTTTTGGATTGAAAATGAGGCACTTGGCTGAGAGGTTGTTTGCTGCTATGTACTATCTATATACTATCTACGGACTATGTAGTGTTGCCACTGCGTTACAAGCCATGAGAATCACTGCTTATATTAAAACAATGGCACAAATATATATGTTTTTGAAACATACAACATAGATGTGGAGATGTGGAGTTCATGAGAATAAAACATCCCCCCCAAGAGGCAGAAAAAGGAGTCCACACAGCTTAGCTAGCTATTGCTTTAGCAAGAGTCAATGAAGCAGCAGTTTTGAAGTGCTCCACAAACTGATTCCCATTTTTTTTTTCTATTTTATGTCTTATAAGGACCCACAAAAAACATGGTACTCACCAAAATTACAGCCTGATTTTTCTATCTTAGCTGACTCATTGATTTCCCCTTTATAGCTGGACTTTATATCTTCCCCCAAAATATCACTGGGTCATACTCTGTGAAAGTAAGTTACACATTTTCAGTACTGATGCACAGTGTATATATACAACAAAGAAAACACGACTCCTTTTAATCAATTCGTTCAGGAGACTGTTATTTACTGTGACACAGGCTTGAATTTGTATGGAAAACTTTATTTAATAATAAAAATAGCATTCACAGACTTTTCGATAGCTACATATATATCGTGATCCATCTCGGGGAAAGAAGCTTTACTCAGGTAAATCCACATCTACTAGTACTCAGACTAACGTTATGTATAACCCCATGGGTCAAGTAAAGCTATGAACAATGTGGTATTTATATATGCATAGTGTTTTTATATCAAAAAGATTGGCCCATATACATGTAGTGTTTTTTATATGAACACAGAAATAGCATTAAGTCTGGAGCACACGCTGCAAGAAGTAATTTTTAAGAACACAGACTGCATACAAGTGCTTTATAATACAAAGGCAGGCTATAATCAGGAGAAATGTTCCAACCAGCAAACAGTATGCGATCGATTATTACAGTTCATTTTAAAACGTCTTTATAAACCTGATTCAGAGTACATTAGCATATTTCCCATGAATCACCTGTTCCATTTCAGAAATAGAAACGCGTATCACATTCCTCAAGGATGAGGTTTTTCAATAATTATCTATTATACAAGAAAAAAAAGGCAACATTTTCTTCTTCAACTGGCTTGATACGTAGCTCTGTACAGGTGACGATTGGTCGCTGAACTGTTACAGTAGCATGGCGACAACAGTGATAAAACATTTTTTTTTCTTTTGTGAAACAATCGACATACAGTACATATACAACACACTGTACAACAGCATTCGTACTTCAGCAGTCTGACAGTAACTGAGAGAATGGCTCAGCTTGGCAGGTTGGAACTCAAGACCTCTGTCCCATTGGCCACCGAAGCAGACCTTCACTACACTTTACAGACCTAGTAGTCTTGTAAGCAGTACTGTATGTGGGTCTCCGAACAGGGAAACCACAAAAAGTTGTGCCCAAAGGTGTCTGTCTGGAATAGTTGCAGTGGACTGTTTTTGTTCTTCTATATTCTAAACACACACACAAAAATATGTGGTTTGGCTATTGACTCCGTCAGCCGCCTCTTCACTGCCATGATGTAATACAGGATGTGGATTTCCTGATCATTTACTTCTTAACTATTTATCCTAATGACGTAACCAAAAACAGACACTATTGGTTAGAAACTCATACTGAGCTCAACAAGGCCTATGGGCCAAGTGGACAAAAAGGATTCATCAGCAGGCAACTTTGTGGAAGCAGGCAAGTCCCCTCCATCCTTAACGATGCCTCCTCACCTCACTCATGAGTGAAAATAATACGGGTTCCAAAGAACAACAATGCCTGTATCCACCACTCTCCCAAGTACCAATCAAATTTCCCTTTTGTTTTGTCACAGAGAAGTGGTTTGGCAAGGCCACAATACCTTTCACGCAAAAAAAAAAGCATCAGCAGACCAATTTAGCAGATCACAATAGTCTTTGTTCATTTGATTGCATTTCTGCCCTCAACACTGGAATTGGCAAATTCTCTGCCTTTTTAATTACATAAATATATATATGCTTAATGTTTGAAAGAAGAAATTAAATATATTATTTTGCAAGCAATTATCATTCCTTGACACAATTATCATAGTTTTATTATTTTTCTTCCTCATTTCTTCTTTTTCTTATAGTCTAAATATTTATATATTGTAAATGTTAAAAAAAAACACATTTTGGTGAAATGGTGGCACCGAAGGAAAAAAACGGCATTAAAACCTTAAGACATGTAAAGCATAATAAAAGCACCAGTTTCAAGAGGCCATTAGGTGCATCTATAAACTGCCAGGGACAGAATATTACAAAAACAGTTTGCTTGATTTTTTTTTTCCTTAAATAAAACCACAAATTATGGTACTGTTAGGCACGTAATAATATTTTTGTTATGGAGTATTCTGGAAAACATATTAAAATATGCAATTTTTTTTAATTAACAAACTAAAGATTGTACTTTTGCCATTCACATCTGCTGGAAACAAAAAAAGGGGTTGATCAATAATTTAACACCTTCCAGAGTCCTGGCTTCATATTGTTGACAGGACTGAGCCTTGCATTAAATATAATTTGAGGGTTATCTGATCAGGTATCTGAAGCTATCTGATCAGATGCTAAGGTCCTTGTGGCTCTCTTTGTATGGCCTCCTCTTGGGCACTGGCAGCTGTTTGCAGCTCTGGCCCGATTCTGTCCTCAGGGTGTTGTAGTATTCCTTGAGCCGGGGTGTGGCCACTTCCTCACTGCTGTAGCTGGTACTCAGCCCCGGGTTCTGCAGCAGGTTCTCCGCTACATGGTGTCTCTTGGGCGACCGTTCCCTCACAGATTTTTCATCCCTGTCCCTCCCTTTGGGTAACCAGTCCCTCAGTGCATTGCTGTTATTTTTGAAGGCCCTGTCGGTGGCTCTGCCCCTTGGAATCGGCAGCCTCGTCCCACCAAGACCCTCGAGGCCATCGTCTTGGGTGGCTGGTTGACCGTCTTCTTGGAAGAAGCGCTGGTTGACAGGAGGGTCCTTGAGTGGATTCTCGTCGCCGAAGCCCCCATCCCAGTAGGCCCTCTCCCTGTGTGCTTTCTCAGTTCTCCTGTCCATGGACTTGGCCCTGCGGCGGCTGGGCGAAGACTCCCGCCCCCGGCTTGGCGATCGGTCCAAGGAACCCCTGCGGCCCCCCCTCTCTCGCCTTCCATTCAGGGTGCCGCTGCGGTGAGAGTCGGAGTCCCACTCCGTCTCTGCTGCCAACTTCTTCTTCCCAGACCTCTCATCATTCCTCAGCGTCCGGAAAAACTTGGAGATGCCGTTCTCCTCCGACTTGCGAACGTGCTGCTGCTGAGTCTTCCTGCTGTCGGGTGAGCCGTGTCCAGAGTTGGGTGGACTGCCATTGTTTCCATGGTTGTTCCCGGTGTGGTGATGGTGGCTGGCTTGCAGGCGGCGGTCCCTCCACTCTGCCCCAGCCCTCCTCCTCATCCGCCCTTCCTCATTCGGTGATGATTTGTGAAGATCTGGTGGATAGCTGGACTCCGATGATGCGTGTAATCGGCGATTTGGTGGAAAGGTTTTCACTTCCGAAATATTTTGTGTACTGGTGGCGGGAGTGTTCCTGTCATTGCTGCCGTCTGTAAGATACACGAGGAAAACAAATGAGCGGAATAATAGCAAGCTGACTTGACATTAACTGCAGAACCTAATGCAAAGCTAATTAGGACGGCTTCTTCCAGAGCTTGTAGACACTGTATTTTTCATAGATTTCAAATGCAATTTTCTGGCTTAAACGGCAGTGTTTATGAGTTATGAGCATTAAAAAGGGACTGTAGTACAGGAAAAGAAAAAAGCTTACTGTATAAAAAAATACAGTGGTACCTCGGTTCTCGAACTCACTCGAATTTCTTGAAAGTCAAACAAACCAGTTTGACCTAGAACTCGATCTGAATATCAGAAGTCGAACCGTGAACGCTGACCTAATATATATTGTACGCGCCAGGAAATGCATCATACTACAATGCAATTCTTACTTGAATGCCTTCACAGACTGGACAATTAACCAAATAAAGCAGCGCGACATTACAGTAACTAACAATAAATAAACCACTAACTTACGTGTACTATTAGAGCATTTATGTCATTTATTTAAACTTTATTTTACCAGGTAAATTAACTGAAAACCAGTTCTCACTGCTTTACGTGATATTCAGAAGAAATAGCAGATTACGCAACGGAACTGCCTGCGATACAAACGTCATGTTGGGATAAGATCTTTATCATTTTGGAAGCCATTAAGAAAAAAATGCTCTGCTTTGTTTTATCCTGTTTTTTTTTTTTTTTAAAAAAAAAAAAAAAAAAAAAAAAACATATTTAGGTGTCATTTTGGGGGGCCGGGAACCAATTAATTAGTTTTCCATTATTTCTTATGGGAAAAATTCGATCAGAACTCGAACTTTTTAGGATTCGATCCGGAGTCCGGAATGAATTAAGTTCGAGAGCCGAGGTACCACTGTACTTTGAATGGCAACCTTAAGCAGGAGAGATCTGACTTAATAACTTGCAGCATTCTGGTGATCACAAATCCACACAGTTCATGCCATAGATGTTACATTCTGCACCATCATGCACATGTGAGCCTTAAGACAGTAGTTCAGTAGAATAAAAATCATTTTTTCACATTAGCAATCAAAACCAAGTTTCAAACCTATGACCACAACCAACAAAAATTTACGAATGCAATCTTTAAACCAAGAAAGGGACGTGATATGATCCACAAACAACTACTCATGCAAACATTTAGCAAAGAACTTCATTTTGATGCCGTGCTTCGAATGCGGCATTTGCATGGCATTTGACGGCAGATTTTCTGAGACAGCGGAAATCAATGCATGCTATGTGCAGTCATCACATCAGGAAGATTTGTTATGCTGACTCTTGTCCGAATTAAGCAGATCGTGCTGAGCAGTCCTACAAAGTTCATTAAAAAAAACAAAACAAAACAAAACAAAAAAACACATAAGCAAGAAATGAGGATGGAGGATTTTTATAGACGCCTCACTAGTGCAGAATAAATGAAAAAGTCATTGAACTTTTTATATAGCTGCTGGCCGCCTTCCTGTGCTTGCTGCTCACGCCCGAACTGATCTGGGGTTGCTGCATTAATAAGCACATGGCTATTCAGTAGTACCAGGTCAATGTAGCATTGGGGCTTGATGGCACAATAGGCAGACTATAAGCTGGGCAAGAATTAATACAGAGCTAAGGAAACACTACAGTCTCACAGAAAATACAGCAAATCCATACCTTTTAAGGCTATAAGAGGAAAAGAGAAACGTATATAAAGCCAATACAGCTTTCACATTTTTTTCAGACGACGTACATTCCCAGAGATCAAATGAGCGGATTGACGGCGTAACTGTAAATACATGACAACTGCAGCTAATGCAAACGGAGGTGAAGGTCATTCTGGGTAAATGAAATCGAAAGCACATGGAGCACAATGCTGGTGAGTCAAACCACACTGCGGGGTTACGGGCGGCCAGGGGAGGGGCGGGTGATAGACTTTCGTCTACAAACCGTGGTTTGATTTTGGCCCGTTAGGAAGAGAGAGGGCTCAGTTCCCTTGTCATCTCTCAAACATGCAGCGAGATGAGGAGGCATCATCGCTGGAGAGAGGTGCAGGAGCCCCGTGAAAAAAAGGGATGGAGGAGGAAGATGGAGAAAAGAAAACATAAAGTCAAAAAGAGAAGAAGGTTTAGATACTCAACATAGAAAAGAGAATGAAGAATTATCCGTCAGGCTTCTTTTTGAGGCATTTTTTCAATGAACAGCAAGAAAAAAACACAACATCTTCTTTTGAGTTGCATCATAAACCTAAGCAGTAAAGATAAAGAGAAGAAGAAAGAGAGGGAAAGAGAACGAGAAAAAGCCCCCCCCCCCCCCCCCCCCCCCCCCCCACCCCCCACCAACAATCTCCCAAAGAGAAAACACAACTACTCATCACGTGACAAAAGGACGACTGCTATCTGTAAAAGGTAAAAAAATAAATGTACGTGGACATTTATAAATGTATTCATAATACTCCATAAAATGGATATACTGCTGTTTTGTGGTTGAAAAACAAAAGATCAATAGATCAAAATATTTATTTGAATTTTTTAGATAATACATTATTAATAAATAAATAAGAAGTCTGCCTATCCATCATCTAACCAGTTATCCTGGTCAGGGTCTTGGAATCTGTCACAGGTAGTATAGAGCACCAGGTAGTCAACATCACACACAGTCATATGCTATGGGAAATTTAGACACCATTAACTACATGCCTTTGGAATGTGAGAGGAAACCTGATTAATCAGAGGAATCCTACACACAAAGCGGAGGTGGGATGTGAAGCATATATATTATATGTATAGTTTTTTATGTTTTATATTTAGTCAAATGACGTCAAATGACTGGTTGGGTTCCGCCTACAATTTCATACAAAGTGAAAGTTCCAGGACACTGACAATGGGTCCTAAGGATGCCTCAGTAATGGGGGGGGGGGGATTCTAGAGCTTGTTTCGCCCTTTTCCCCAGATTACCTTGCTTTTTCATCAGCAAGCATATCCTCCTAAACATTTTTTTCAAAAGCATATCACAACGGTAAGAGATATCCAGAGGCATTTGATCATTTAGATGTTGAAAAATACCTAAGTAATACCTAAGTGAGTAATTAACAAGAACCAGAGTCCCACTTGGCAGCTGAATTCAGCAAACCTGCCTGGCACCATGGCATGAGAGGGTTTGGGGCATGGTAAATTGACCCACCGTATTCAGGCACGGAGCCGTCCCCTCTTTTGAGGACCAGGCGGGCCCGGCGGCCCCCGTTTTTGATGAGCTCGATGGCACGTGCGTGCTTCATATTTTTCGTGCTCTCCCCATTTATCTCCAGGATCTCGTCACCAACCTGCAAACACAGACCGGGGGCCAAGGGACATACCCCATGCATGTTAATCAGTACAACCAGAAAGCCTATTGACTGGTATGTTTTTGCTTAGAGGATGCTATGCTGAAGACTGCTCTCCTTTTAGGGTCACGCACCCTCATCTTGCCATTGCGGACAGCGGCGCCATCTTCAGCCAGCCTCAGGACATACAGCTCCATGTTATACTCGCGGCCTCCACGCAGGCTGAAGCCGAAACCCTTGCTGTCTCGTTCAAGGTCAACGGAGTAGAATTCCGCTTCCTGAGAAACAAAATCATTAACAGAGAATAAACATACAATTACTATTACATCACAATAGAAAAACATGTACAAGTCAAAGGAAATCAAACACTTCCTGTGGACTGAAGAGGGCAATGTTGTTTCACAGTAAATCACTCGACATTTAGAATAACTGACTGGGCTATTATTCACAGAGACAAATGATTAAATGTATCTCTGACTACAATTTGCGAATTTGTCCTAGAGGGCTAAAAAGGAGGAAGACTGAACTTCGGGTTATGAAGAACATGCAAAACCTTTCGCAGAACTTTTCAGAAGTTGTGGCCTTTAGTTTCTCCATGTAGCAGATAGTCCAAAGAAAAAGCTTTGCTTAATTACTGCTTACTGTCGAGGTTTAAAGGCTATCCACTTTTAATGATTAAAAGTTTGGCATGTGATAAGATGAACGGATGCTAGAGATCCTTGCCTGGGGGGGTGGGGCTTGCGTTGGAGCTGGAGGTGGTGGGACCTGTGGCGGTCCTTTTGTACTACTCCTGAAAAAACATAAATGAAAGAATAGCCTAGTTTACCCAGTGATCTACCTCAATATGATGCTTTTAGGTGGTTAGCTAACGAGAGCTTTAGAAACTAATGCACAGGTGAGCGATCGTCCTTCCAGGCATGAGAACATGAGCCACATACACCTGTAACCTAGATGACCCAAGTTTTATCTTTTCTGCACATGACAGTACAGCACGTGCTACGTGGCTCCTGGGAGTGGGTGGTCTGTTACATTCGACCTTCAGTTAAGGGCAAATAAAAAAAAAAGCATCTTAAATAAGGTTCTCACATATACAAAAACATTCAGGTGCATGCTAAAAATAATCAGCTATTTTTATGAATTTTATTCTACAAAGCATTAAGGCATCTGAGAACATGGTAATTAACAATGCTACACTTTTCTATCCATGTCTCATAGCCCGAACTGTGGTGACACAAGTGGTAAATTAAATGTTCATAAGTAAGTGTTTATATTTTTAGACGGTATTTAAAAATGCACGTAATAAATATTTCCTGGCTATATAAATACCCTACAGCCAATTCACATCACTTCATTCTCTTGGAGGTGGAGGTGTACTGCAGGATGATGGACCTCTAACCACATTGTTAGCGTAGGGTCGAGAGAACGGACACATCTTTGGGAATGACGCTCCGAATGACTCACCGAGGCTCCGAGGCAGACTGCTGCTGCTGAGGTGTGTGTGTGGTGGTGATGGTTGCGATCTTCTCAGCATTGGTCAGAAGGGATGCATTGGAGGACTCTGTCAAAAGAAAGGTGAGGTAGGCGTGAGAGAATGAAACCCCTTGTGGTGACCATCCCTGTACCCTCAGTGCACCTATTACCCTTCATGCTCCCTCATCTTTCCAGCCAAGAACGTTCCGCTCCCCAAAACACGCTCCAAAGACTCACACGAATCTGCTCTGGCCACCTACGCGCTATCGCCACCTACTCAAATCTCCCTCCTACTCACTAGCCCCTGTAAGTATTTACCTGCCCTCTTCTATTCAAATCAAATTTCCTTGGATGTGTGCTTGCTTAGTTTTGACCACAAACACCTACATGTGACTTTCTGAAGATACAGAGAACCACAACCTTCAAAGATCAGCAAGTGTGAATTCCTATCAGCTTGTTATTTGCTGCTCTGTAAAAGTCCTCTTATTGAACATCATCGATGTGGAGAAATGGGAAAACAGAAAATTGCGAACGTTCATATTTGACCTGTGTGAATCATCGTTCGAATTAAAATGCAATTCTCAGCTGGAGTGTTTTCACTTGATGTGTAATTTGTGCTTCACTACAAGCCTAAGCAAAGCAGGAAGATCAGAGACCCTGATCCTGACAGCAGAAGGTTGGTTCCTCCGGCTGACTCATTCCTCCTCTTTCTGTGACACTATGACAGGTCCTTGCTGTTGTGTGTGAAGTTGCTCGGCATTCTGGGAACAAAGCTAGGGCAATTTGAACAAAACAGGCCGAACGAAAGCAGACTCATATCATATGGATCAATGCTTCCAAAACAAAAAAGGCAGAGAGACCTCACCATGAAATTTTTACCATAAACTGTCACGGTTTATTTAGCAGCCAGTTTCTAATGCATGCCGCTGTCAGTCCAAAAACGCTTATCTCTCTTGTAATTAGGCAGCATTTGTGAACCTCTCCTAAGGGCACCTCAGAGCAGAGCTGAAGACTTTGAACCAGGGAACACAACAGGAACAGTAATGATCAAGAGCTTCTTTATCACAGCTGGTGACTGGCCTTTGCGTCTCACAAACTGCATCATTATTTCTGAATACAAAACAATGTGTGCAGGGTAACTCACACAGACAACACACATTCTGTATGAATGTACATCCTGGTATAAATATCACCTAACCCCTGCCTTAGGCTTTAAGGGGCAGTAACACCTGACACTAAAATTATGAAGGAGCCGTGGACAGGTAAAACACGGGGATGATGTGGGATTCTAGCAGAGCAGATTCTCTACTTCTGCTCTGATCCTAGCTTCTGTCTACAAAGTAAAGCATCAGCATCTTACAGGAGACACATCCATAGCCAGACTCAGTCATTCCAACAAAGCTTCTGCAACAAATTACAGTAACACTTTATTTAAGGCTATGATTTCAGTCATTTATAAACACATTCATAATGCATTATAATGCTTTCATAAAGTGTTATAAACATTGTTATAAATATTTATAAAAAGGCGTAACACATTATAGCCATGTTTATTATGCATTATGAAATAATGAATGCTTTATGAAGCTCTCATCTATAACGCACTATAGATACCTTTATAATCCAGTACAAAGCATCCTTAATGCTTATACCGACCATTATAATGCATTATAAAGGTATGTGTAGTGCACTGTAGAAGAGAGATTCATAGAGCATTCATAAAGCAATGCATTATAGGAATGCATTATAATGTGTTATGAATGTGTTTATAAATTCCTAGAAACAAGGCCTTAAGTAAAGAGTTACCCAAATTACACACACCACACAAAAACGACACAAAGCGCTACAAAAAAAGAGGAAAGAGGTGGAGCCCAGAGGAAGGGCGGTTGGCCTCACCATCCCCAGGAATTATCCGCAGAGCGACAGTGTTTCCAGCCTCTTTGATCAGGTTGACAATGTCCGAGTGGGACTTGTTGGTGATGGAGCAGCCATTAACGGCCAGGATGCGGTCGCCCACCTTAAGCTTCCCGCAGCGGTCCGCCGGGCTGCCCTCGATGATGCGACCTATTTTGTGGGGCATCGCCACGCACGCATTGGCAACTGGCACACCAGTGTTCGTGTGTGTGTGCGTGATTGATTTTATACCATTTTTCCCCAAGAGTTGGGGTGAAAGGAGGACAAAAAGAAGAAGGCAGAAGCAAAGGGAGAAAATGCGGATTAATTTCCCGAGCCACCAAGCTGAAAGACCTGCCAGTGTTATAAACAGAATCATTGTGGAACAGAATAACAGTAGGGAGCGTTACATAAATCAATAAAGACAGGAAGACAACTGTCCTTGGCTGTCACTACACATTAGGCTAGGGTGCCACAGATTAAATCACCTATAATCATGGAATTCCACTCCAAACATTCAAATTCTGAACCAAATTCTCTGCTCCCATTACAAAGCTAGATGCTCAGAAATCACTTTCCAATCTCCTGTCTCCAAACTGACAGTATTTTCAAACATTTTGTTCTGGTGAGGTTCTAGGCTTCGGAACTGAAACAGAACATCGCCTCTAGAGTGAGGCCTGCAGCACAGCTGCTCGAGTTCCACAAGTCATCCATATTTATGAAATACCTGCAGTCAGGCCCTTGCCATGTCAACACGATTGAGAAACACACACAGTGGAGTTCTGGTTTGTCCTCTGTCCCCATCACTCTATTCATATACAGCAACGACCTTTAGTATTGAATAGCAATGTCACAGCATTGCTGGCAATCGGGGTGAATAGATCTGTCCTTAACTGGTCAAAGAAAACAGACATCTGAATTTACCCCAGTTTGCCCAGTGCCACCCTACTGGGGATGAGCAACCTAAAAGTCCATGTTCTTTACACATTACTGCCTCATCAATTCTTCTTCCAAATTCTGGATAAGCCTAAATTCCAGCTATGTAACAGGGCAGCAGAGGTGAGAGGAAACTAGACTTGGGCAGTATGTAACTTTTCAAACAGTCATACTGTCCAGACATTATCCCGAGGTATCCTGTATTTTGATGGTATTTATAAAAGCAATACCATTCTGGTATTTTGATATCTTGGTCATAAAATTGGGCTTCAGGGAGGGTAATCCCCACACCTACATTCACCCACACCAACATACCCTAATTACTGTAGTATACTGTATTACCCTAATAATGCCCAAGCCTAAAGGAAAGAATAAGGAAAGCGGAAATGAACTCAAGAGAATGAGAACACAGGTGAAAGCAGACCAGCAAAGAGGAAGGATGACGTGCATCTGCACTAAGATCTCAGAGAACACATCAATCACTATCATCTTACACTATTTACACTACACAATAGTAACTATTCTTACATAAATATAATAGCATTTTTAAATTGTTTCCTGCGATTAACACTCCTCTGAGGCTACTCGTGCATCCTCTATTAAAACAGCATCTCAGATCACACTGAAACCTTTTCATACATCTGTTTTTCACGGTTTTGCAACCTGACTACACGAGTCCTTCACGATAGCTGTCTGTTTATTCTCTGTAAGGGGGTGTAAGGTGTAAATGCCTCATGTTCTGCACACAGTACACAATACACTATATAGTCACCCCTTCACATTCACGAAGGTTAGGGGAGGAAGATCTCCATGAGTGTGAAAATTTGCGAATGATGTCAATATTAAAGATACAGTATGTACTTAAACTAACAAATATTAAATAACACGACTATTTATATATTATATGAATTTATGTGATCCAAATCATTTTCAGTATTGCAAAAATATTTTTGGCTTATGACATCTGTGAGTTTCTGCCATCTTTCGGCAAGCCCCAAGAATACTCCTGGCGTGATTATTCACGGCAACTTGCAAATACGCGAAGCTGCGAATATGAAATTCGTAAATCTGGAGGGGCGATAGGACAGATGGAATCAGGTGAGGATCCTACCAAAGGTGGCCCCCGCGTCGGGCCGTGACACCGAGGACACGATGACGAAGCCGAAGCCCTCGTTCTCGCCGCGCCGGATCTCCACGTCGTAGGGCTGTACGGCGGCGGGCACCACGGCGCTGCCTCCGCCCCCCCCGCCCCCCCCGCCGCTGCCGATGCCGCTGGTGCTGCCGCTGCCCGAGCTGACGGTGTTCAGGGAGTTCTGGCTGCCCTGTGACGTGCGCTTATCCTCCGTCAGCGAGGGCGCCTGCGTGCTGCTGTGATGGGAGGAGGCTGGTGATGGGGGCACGTCAGCTTCGCCTTTCGCCACTGCGGGGGGGGGGGGGGGGGGCATGGTCAAGCAGAGGAACCCCTATTAACTGGTAGCCTGGCTTATTTAAGTCACACACGTTGCTGACGCAGGTATATAATTAAGCACACCGTCCACAATCTCCCACAGGAAAGATTAGCAGCACAATGGGTGATTGTGCAGGAGAGGTTAGTGACTTTCCACTTGTCACCAACACAGGACTCCTTCAGTTTGCCCCTTTTCTACCCGCTGGAGCTGCGATGGCAATTCAAGCCATTGTGAGGGTCAGATTGGGAAATGGGAGCCACACAACCTCTCAGAAAGGGACCTGAATGGTGGCAAATCCCACCAGCAATGTTCCAACATCTAACAAAAAGCCTTCCTTAAAAAGCCAAGTCCAGGGGTGAATCTCAATCTGCGTGCTAGACTGTACTTGTGTTCTCATGTACCATGTTTTACATCATCTTCCATTGCCGAAGACCAGTTCCAATACTCAAGAACAGAAGTACAGAGGATGGTGAAAATCCCCGGAAGTCATTCTAGCCCCGCCCCAAATGTAAAGGATACATTGGTTGCATCCGAGGGCAATCCCATGATTCATTGTGCCGCAAGTTAGCAAGAACGGTCTAGCCAAGACCACAAGTACAATCCTCACGTTCCTGGTATTGAGAGTCGCCCCATTATAGCAACAATGGGTTGATCAACTTCATATTAATACCCTTGGTTTCAGAATGAGATGTTTGACGGTATAGTGTAGATGCGACAGGGCACCTTGGGGACCAGCCGCCCATTCCTGAGACCAGTCACAACCACAAGGCCGCAGGGTGACCTCACCTCCGTATCCAATCTTGCGCCTGACAGTCAGGTTGACGTGGCCCTGCTTGGCCGCCTGCTGCATCAGCTGCACCACCAACTGGTGGGACTTGCCCACCACGGCCGTGCCGTCCACACAGATCAGCTCGTCACCCGATCGCAGCCGGCCGTCCTCGTCTGCAGCCCCATACTTCACGATGTGGCCGATGTATATCTGATATCAGCACAAGAGCGGTAACACTGAGCTCAACTGAAAACGGCAAACTAAAACCAGAACTGTCGTTAAGAGGGATTATGTGATGCAAGGAGTAATTAGAAAATTTAAAATTAGAAATGGAAACAGAAGAATATAAAGACTAAGATGAGACCTGGGGGTGAACTGAATAGCTTCCAAGCGTCTTACATTAATGTGGAATACGGTTTTGTCACGCATTAATGCAAATGGCTGTATAAATGATCTCTATGTCTACAACGATATGGACAAGTTAATATTTCATCAGCCATTTACATGGGAAAAAAATGTAGGCTGAGACAGAAAGGCTTTTCTCACCGGTTCCCCGGGTTCATTGCCTCCCAGAATCCGGAACCCGAATCCCGTATCCTTCCGCCACAGGAAAATATCCTGTTCCTGGAAATCGGGCACTGAAAGATTTAAAGCACAAACCGCATCATGTCCAATGTCCAGCAAAAGATTTCTGATTAAGTAATGTCCCCTGTGGCGAAATTACAAAACGGTGTACTTAAAAAAAAAAAAAAAAAAAAGCTCAATATTCTATTCAAACACTTCAAAAGATCTGGACATGTTCAAGGGCACGGGCAGACTTTGCTGACGTTTACTCTAAAAGGGACTGGTTTAAGAATTAAAGAATGGTGGTCTTTAACAGACTTCAACTGAGAATCCTACTGGGAATGTGTGTAAAGAATCGAAGGCGAGCGTCTAAAAGCAAACCCCACAAGCTACTCAAGGAAGCTTCCAGCAAAACTCACACAGCCAGACTCACCCAAAAAAGAGCCGCAGCCTAAGGCACTAACAGCAGACAGTGAATTCTGAAGACTTATGCAATATATTTCAGTTCTTAGTGGTGTTTGTCATAAACGATAACCCTTGAGTAATATATTAATTAAAAATTCAAAATACTAAAAATGCAAACGTAAATGTATCATTTTCTAAGTTTTTGTGAGGCACTGTTTTAAGTCTTAATGTGTATGTCTGCTTTTCTGACGGTCAGAAAAGGGAGGGATATTTATAGGGTTTTGAAGTAATAATCCTCAAGGCACCTCTTGTCCTATTACCCATACTCCTCTGCTGTCGTGCTAATACCAACGCTAAAGCTGACATGCTAACAGGCCCCTTCGCTCTGCCCATTTCTTTCTCTAATTCTTTCCTGCTCCTCCCCAACATTCTGGCTACATTTCCCTCTCACCCTCTCCTCAAAGAACAAGATGGAGAAGCAGGCAGCGATGGGGGGAGCTAGGAGAGTGGGGGTACGTGAAGCAGTGATGAAAGGATTAAGAAACAGGGAAAGCGGAAGAGAACGCAAGTTGGTGCTGAGCTCCCCAGGTGTCTGGCACAGAGAACATCACGCGGAACGTGCTTGTTTATCACTGAGCTGCCATTTTTCTCTAAGTGTACTTTTTCCAGCCTTAATACACCCAAAAAAAGTCAGTTTTGTTTTTATTACATTTAAAGGGCTCTTTTCAGCAGACCGAAGCCTAGAAATAATGCAGTCTTTCTAGTACACCTACATTTTCCTATGTAGCTTCCAAAATCCCACCTGCATGATAACAGTGCCACCCAACAGAATCCACCATTTAAAATATTACAGTTCATATTTTGACCACATTTGAGTGGATTTGTTATATTGTGCATTTAGATGAATAATCTACAACGGCCCATAGTGTGTGATTGCGAGTGCATGTGTGTGCCCCGCAGTGCACTGCTATTGCAGTGGAAGGCGCCCACTGCCTCATGCCCTGTTTCCTGGGACAAGCACCAGGACCAAGTGGCTGCAGAAGATGGATGGATGGAATTATTTGTAAATTTACATTATTATTATTATTATTATTATTACTACTATTATCTCCTTTCCAGTGTCGGGTCCAAGTCCATCCTTCCATCACCACTTCTGGACTGCAGGACTTCCAGATTGAGTGTCAGACTATTAGCCCACTATCGATCTGTGTGTGCGCATCAAGGCCCGCTAAGTCGAGCGCTGATGGCCCCGATAGCTGCTCTCTGGGCAGCCCATACCGCTCAGTGGGAGGAAGAGACGGCTTGGCAGCCAGTCTGGCCAAGCCAATGGAGCGTACCATTTCCCCTGCAATGGACAAAATGGCTACTACAGTGGAGATGAGCGTAGCTAATGGCTCTGTCCCGTCGCCAGCCCTATTTCCATCCTGCCGTCCCCACGGCCCCTCCCGCTAACCAAACGATCGTCACTGTGCATCCCAGCACTTCAGCTACCCGGCCTCATCCATCCCCGCACTGGCCGTATCCGCACAAACAACAGCCGGCTCCTTAGGGGGTTGTTGCGGCAAGAAATACCGATCATCTTACACTAGCTTTAAACGACCCAGCATGCTCAGACCAAGGTTTCATATTTTAATGGCGGCAGACCTACATTTCTACCGAAATGTAATTATCTTCCACTGTGGCTCTGTGCCACTAACTGGGGGTAACCAAGGAAAAACACTCTGATTCTGGGGTCGACATAGCTAACAGAATCCACCCCATTAACACACTTCAGGGCTTGGTAGGGGGAAAAGATTCCCATCTGCGCAAGGACTATAGAAACACTGCCTTTCAACTGGTCAAGACTTCAATTTCATTATTGTTTCTTTCTTAAATACATCAGACACAATAGCAAATTCCACCCCTCTCTCCTCCAAGTCTTCACCCCAGCCTCAGTGAAGGCTCCCTTCACTATCACTGGCAGTTCTGCTTCCTCCTTCTCTTTGCTCCATGTATCTTTCATGGTACAGCTAGTGGAGACCGTCTTCGCCCTCAGGCATGAATAATAGAAGCGTGGTTGTGAACGTGAACTAGCAGGAAGAATTATGAAAGCACACCTGAATCCTGCCACCCCATCCGGCCCTTGATGGCTGTCTGACAGAGGATGTCATGAGTAATCTTTCCCCAAACCTCAAAAAACACAAACTTCAAAATATCACTTATTTGTTCCCAACAACTAAGTGTGTTCAGCGTGGAACAGGAGGAGAAGGCCACTTGTTTCCCCAAACTGCAATCTCATAAGCACAACGCCTTGGTGCCTTCGGACTTGTAAAGAAACCTCATTTTGTAATTTGATCCAAATCATCCTCTTTAGCTGCCCAAATAAATGTATTTTTTTGATGAGACTTGGGCAACCCTCTCGCAAAGCAATGTTTTCCTCGCTGACACTGGCCGTCTTTATGTCGGAAATAGGAGCTGTTGATTTATAGCTGGAAGAGCCTGAAAACTCCTCAGCCAATTTTGGTTCAGCAATTAAAAATGCACGGCAGGCTGCCAGCAAAACCCCCCCCCCCGCCACCCGCCGAGGCTTTTCCGCCCAGACTGTGCACACTGCGCTGCCTGGCGTGGGTCGCCATGTACGTGAAGAGGTGCGTACTCACGCCTGCTTTCATACATGCTCCTGGACTGTGCCCAGATCTTGAAGGGGTCCGGTTTCTTCTGGACAGTGGTGTCTCCGGGGTCCTGTGGGGGCAGTCCTGGCAGCGGCTGGGTGGGGGGTGGAGGGAGGGGCGGAGGGCCGGCGGCAGGTGCGGTGGCTCCGGCGGGAGCGGCCTCGCTCGGCACGGCAGCGGGGCGTCCAGGGGAATCGGTGTGGGCGCTGCGATTGCTGCATACGCTGTGCTGGGAGCTGCCCTGGCTGTCCTTCCTCTCCAGTCGCTGCTGCATGGCCAGATAAAGGAGAAGACGAGAGGGAGCGGGGGAGGAAAAGCATGAGTGTGGAAGGAGGGGGTTAACATCAAGGAAAGAGAGAAAAAAGAAGGAGCAACAGCAACAGTGGGAGTGTGAAAAGGGAGAAGAAACCACACAAGGTCATCGCTGCAAACGCTGCTTTTGTTTGTGCCGCCTGCTCCCTTCAGAAGTGTGCGCAGCTACAGCTCACTTCAAACCAGCGGGCCAATCAAAGTCAGCCGTGACACGGGGAATCAGCCGAAAGGGGCCTTTGTCCGAGTGCATCTACGTCTGTGCAGCGGCGTTTTCTGTTATTAACCTTCCTGGCAGAAAGCGAATTGAGTCCTAGTACAAAAGACCAAGAGCGTTTGACTAAAAGTGACATATCTGCTTCTTAATGGTGCACGGAGAGCTCAGCTTTGTAAAGCTGAATGTGTTTATGAAAGAAGGTTTAAAATTCGTATTTTCCTCAATATACTGTGGCAAATGTGTATGAAAAGCATCAAATATGCTTCACATATAAGAAAATAAAATTCATTAAAATTCATTATTCTATTGGATAGAAACACATCTGGATATTCATTCTGCAGACATTTTTGAGTCGTTGTCAGACTGCATCACCGACCTCTACCTTTAAAGTAACACTAAAGCCCATACACCACAGAAACTTGGCACAATCAAGGGGAAACGGGTGGCTTTTAAAAACACTTGCATATACCTTCATAAGAACAAACACTTGAAAAAAGTATTATAATAACATTCACCAACTGCATACAAGAACACATTGTGCACATACTAAGAATACTTTACCTGAGGTGAAATTACTACCAGCCACTGACAAAGACATAGATCCAAAGTGACATCCCTGTGACAGCGAAACATGACTGTCCCCAGCAGGGACCGACTGGAGATGACAGGGTCACTGTGCCTTGGTGTCCCTCCCCTCCCTTCATCACCTGACGGCTCAGAAAATGATAAGAAGCTGGCTCATCCTTAGCTCCCTCTATGCTCTCCTCTGCATCAAGGGGAAGATGTGAGCCCAGGACCCACCTGAAGTCCTGACGTCACAGATCGGTACTCCTAGGCACCTCAAGCGTGCGGGAGAGTGATGCTCCTGTTTCAGTCTTGACTAAAATCATATAACATCTGACAGAAACACGCTCCTAAAGTGCTTCAACTGAGGGACGTCTACAGGGTCCCGATGATGAACAGCCCCCCCCCCAGCCCTCACACTCTCTGACCGGCCCGCAGTTCTTCGAGCATGCAACAGGACCCATCTCTATGGCTTTCTGCTACTTCTACAAACTGATCTCCAATAAATCTAGACACAGTCTACAAGGACAGAAGAACGGACCCCGATCAAGAAGGAACATGGAGACTCACCAGCTTTGGGCTCCTCTTCACAGGCACGGCTCCTGTAAAGCACCATCAAAGAGAGAGTCAGTCACCGGTGTGGGAGACCAGCTTCCCCATATCAGCACGACGGCCAGGAGACGGCGGCTGGGAGCGCGGGGCCTGGCTGGCGCCGGGATTGGGGGGGGGGGGGGGGAGCGGGATTGTGATGCTGGGAAGGCAGTAGGGTGGGGTTACAAGGGGATCTATCAGCATCAGGAAGCCCCGGCGGGCCGGCCCACCTCACCCCCCACCCCCAGCAGCGAAGGCAGGCAATGTGTGAGATCAGAAATCTAAGCTATTACCCATAGAGAACGAGTCCAGCAGGCGAAACATCACGTTAACAGCAACAGTCAGCTCTCCCCGCACTGAAACCATCTTCTAAACAGTGGAGCCCCCAGCAGCTCGCCGGTGAAGGCTGTGTGCATTCAGAGACAGCTCGCCCCCTCTCTCTTCCCCCTCCCTCCGTCTCTCTCCCTCCATCTCTCTCTCTCTCTCTCTCTCTCTCTCACACACACTCACTCACTCACGCTCCATTCCCCTCCCTTCACAGTGGGTAGTTAGCACCATTCCCCTCCCCCACAACTCCCACACAAATATAGACAGTTATACACACACACAGGTTTGTAATTATATCTTTGTGGGGACACTCCATTCATTTCTATGTGGAAAACTCTAATCCCAACATGACGACCTTAAGCCCTGTACCCAGCCCTGACCTTAACCATAAGCAACCAAATAAAATACAAGACTTCTGGCATTTTTAGTTTTTTGATTGCAGTCACAGATGTTTTATAAAATTGAGTTTCTCCTTGTACATAACAAACAGGAAGTCCCCACAGCATCAAAGTAACAGGTTTTTATCACATTGTGGGGGACGTTCTGCTCTCTTCTTGCTCTCTTTCATATGTGTGTGTGTTTATATATATATATATATATATATATATATATATATAATATTTTCACTATATAAGTAGATACATTGTTACAGAGATGTCCAACATCAGCAGAACACAGAAAAATATTCCGGTTGCTGGTGAGCTCACAAGAAGGGGGGGGGGGGGGGGGGGGGGTGTCACACTGGTGTCAAACTCTTACATTTACTTCCACAAAGAAACTTCCACAAAAAATATGCAAGCACATACTTCTCCGTCTCCATGTAGACGACAGACAAATCAGCAGGACAGCTTACAGTCTTTGCTGATCTTTAAAGTGATTACCGCGCCGCCGAGACTGCCTCACCATAATTTAGCGATCTGTGATTCCTTGCCGTAACTGTCCTGAATGAACAATGAGAAAATAAACACAGCAAACCGCTCGATACTTTATGCCGTTGCGGTAGCCAGCCTAATGGCTCCAAACGTAGCCCCACTGAACCCTGCCATCCACCCCAACTCTGTCACGAGATGTTCAGCTAAAAAACCATAAGTTATGGGTCTGCTGTAAATCAGCTCAAGCACTGTGGTCTGCCAGTCTCAGACGTTATGATGTGCTAAAAATTTCCTGCAATTGCACAACCCCCTCCCAGCCTACATGATTTATAATTGATTTAGGTTCTTACTAATGAGGACAGAGCTGAATTTCTCTTTTTTCCATGCTAGGTTATTTTTAATTGCTAAAAATAACTGAGATGCATGTGCAGCAGATCTTTTTTTATTTTATGATTTTTTACAAAATGTTATGTCATTTATTGGTCAACTATGCTGATTGGAATAATATTCATGCATCGATTGATATGATACTGACACCATCTCCTTATGAAATGACCTGGTCATATGTAGGTCCTGCTGTATGCTTCACTTACTCTTGAATTTCAGACACGCCATCCAGCAGGGGAGCTGGACACCGGATCGCGCTGACGATTCGCCATAATTAAAGCGCCACTATAACAATACGCCACTTCCCATTTCAAATGGAGCGTGAACAGAATAGCACGTCCCTCCTCAGTCCTGCCCTTTTATGCACTCATCCTAACATATAGCAGGTTTCTGAACGTCCTGTGGATGAAATGCTCTATAAATAATAACGGCAACCCCTGCTCAATAATCCAAGACGGAGCAATGCAGCCACTTGGTATTACCTCAGCTGAATGCCCGCGAATGCCAGCTAGAGGGATTAAAAACCGAAACCCCAAAATGTACGGTTAATTAACCGTGAACGCCAACACTGTCTCTTCCCCTGAAAGCCGGTGTGATTTAAACAGAGAGGGGATATATGCGAGAGGAGCGGCAGCGGAGACGGCTTCTGTCTTACACGGCCGCCTCCATTTCACTCCCACGGCGACTGAAGATTAGCCGCGAGCCTGTTGCCTCGGCGAGGCGCTTCCCGAGCTCGCCGGAATCGTGTCACGCCCAGCAGCCTTTAATCAGGAGCTTTTAGTGGCCCGATTATCATGTACGGCGGGGGGTTGGCCCTCTGTCACCGTCAGCCTCGAAAGAGCCGCTCCCAACCGGCCGCGCCATCTGTCACAGGGACACAGTGAGCGGACAGCCGCTCTCTTCTGATCAGCTTGTGATCCGACCAGCATCAGCATGTAATTTGTACACACGTACAACTTGTACACATGCCAATAGTGCCATCCACTCTGGACTTCAAGAAAGAGAAATTTCACAGGGATATCATTATGTTCTATCTATTTGTAATTTCGTACTTATTCTTGATTAATTCTTATGGGGCAAACTGGCTGGATATTTCAGATTTAGGTAACAAGGAGTGAGATATGGGACAGCCCTGATCACTTCCCCTCGGGACAGCCACAGTGTGATGCAACATTGTGCAAGCGTCCATCTCGATAGGAAGCAGCTGGAACACAGCGCAGACCTTGTGCTAGACAGCCCAGGGCTCAGCACACGGCTGTCACTCAGCTCTGGGCACAGCAGGCAGACGTGCAGCGTGCAGGACAGGGCGCTGGGGTGGAAGTAGAGAGCAGGAAATCTCATCGCAGGCCTTCAGAGGGGTGGAGGTCGGTAGAACACATGCACCCCCCACTAATGTAGCCGTCCACGGATGCATAACACACTCCCAGATTCCCCCATTGCTTTTAAAACTTGGTGGCTGTCGAAAATGTTATAATAAAATAAATAATAATAATAATAATAAAACTGATTCAGAACCCTAGTACACTGTTGATAGAGTACACTGCAGCCTTCACGTTAGTGGGAAGTACTGACTGAAATCTATTAGTACTCTTTTTTTTCCTGTGAGACTAAATACCAAACAAAAATTCCTTTCCCCTAAATGTAATAAATATGTTTATCAGTCATGTCCTACAATGCCATGAATCTTTCTCTGGATACTGTTTTGATACAGTTAATTTTTAATTGGACAGTAGCTATTTGCAAATGAACCATAAGCTCAGTAACAGGATTTATGATGTTTCAGAAACTGGACATGTGACCAGTAAATTTCTATTTTGCTGGAGGGGCTCTTAAGTTGTACCTTTGAGCCAAGTGCTTAAATTGATTTGCTGCAGCAGATCTATCCAGCTCTGGAAACAGATGAAGAGTAAATCTGTGTGTCTGGATATATGTTTTGCCAAAAACACAGGAAGTATTAAATAAACATTTTCATGCCACTAATCTTTTTACAATTTTTGATGATTGTATAACTTTGCAAATGGTGTCTAAAGTTGCAAAGCCAAAAAAATGCTTTTATTACTTTTTTTACCATCAGTAACAATTCCCACTAAAATTAGAACAGACAAAAAAAATGACTGATTATAACTAAAATTTTAGTTTCCTTTTATTCTTAATTCTACCATTATGTCTTTCGGTCTAATGCTTACTTGAATATTCTGATGCCTTGCCTGCACATTTTTTTTGTTGACCTTTGAGTTTCTCCTGGACGCATAATACAGGGCTCTCCAACTGGCCCAAATCAGCCATCATCGATCGACGAAGAGTGGAGACAGGACACATGGCACTGATTGCCCTCTGACCTTTCGCTTTACGCACGCTCAGTTTTTTCACGAGGCGAGGACGGCTGCTGTTGTGCTGATGTCGCTGTGGAAAACCGCCCAGCGGGACATGTGCCTTCTGCTAATGAACCGCTAATAATCTGCATGATTGGTCAACATACCCATTATAACAAAGCGCAGCTGTGAAGGGACCTTTTTCAACGTGGGCAGCTGTCTGCCATCAACTAAACTCTCCAGGAGTTCTCAACGGTATAACAGATGTTGGCAATAAGGAGGGGATCGAGAAAGCTACTGCTCACTGTGCAAAATAAAACACAATAACACGTTTAAAAGACCAGTGTCAGCCTGACATGCAGGAAACTCAAAAAAAATGTCCACATTCTCTGCAGCACCTCCATTATGGACACAAAAGCAGTTCTACCAAGCAATGTGGCCAGTGGGTGAATTTATAACAAATTCTAATAATTGTGATCAATCATAATTTCATGACTATTAAGATTACAGCATATTCTACAGAGTATTCATAATGTTCCAGAGGCTAATGGCAGCAGTAATACAATTCAAACACTTGCAATATACCTGCTATTCAGGAGCAAATCTCTGCTCCACCACTACAGATATAACCTGTGACTAAATGACACATATGTAATATTACTCATTTTTTAAACCCAAACTTTAATTCAACACCAACGTGGGAAGCAGTGCAAGTAAAACAGTTAAACTGTGCATGCTTACAGCATTTGTCCTAAAGCATTGTGACTCAGAATCTCCTTTTTCTGCTAAATGGCACTTCTTGGATTCAAATGTCAAAAAATTGCCCACTGCGTCAGTTACCCACTCAACAATATCGCAAAGACACAAGCAGAGGACGCTGGTACAGATGAAGTCATGCTCCAAGCACACCCCCACAAACTCATGACAAGGAGGAAAAAATAAGGGCCAGCAGACAGAACAAGAAGTGTGTACAAACCAGGCAATATGGCAGCCATCATCTGCCACAGCTCACTCGTAAACTCATCCGTGTCCAGCTTTCTGCACCAGCCGGTCTTCCTTAGTCATTTGTTCATTCAGTTCTCGTTCTCACTTGTTTACTCTGTACCAGCGTGATAACTACACTGCCTCGCCGTCTCCCCTTCATCTATGCCCATTCACTTGATCCACCTACCATCCAGAGGAACAGAAAGTATGGGACCAAAAGTAATAGATACTTACTAAATGGATAGGATTGGCTCAGCCAAGCCGTTCTAAATGCTAATTATGAGGTGGGATAATCTTGAGAACGTTCAAACCCTCATCACATATTAATTCTACCAGCCCAGTACATACCTCTCTGCACCAGCATGGTGACCTCACTTCCTCTGGGACACTTGCTCAGCAGGTCCACCACTTGGTTGTGAGTCATGCTCTGGACATTCCTCTTGTTCACTTCCACCAAAATGTCCCCCTCCTTCAGGCCCCGGCAGCGGGGGTAGTCGACGATCTGCTTGACCCTCTGGCCGCCCCCAGATGGGCTGTCGGCAATGGTGAAGCCGAAGCCCTTGTCGCCCTTCTCCATGTGCACGGTGATGAGTTCGGGCTGCGTGGCGATGGAGGAGGCGAGCGTCACCACGTCATTGGGGTAGGGGGAGGAGCCGTCAGAGGCCACCTCCGCTGATGGGCTATAAGGCCGGTGCTCCTTTGCTCCACCTACGCTGTTGGCAGCTTGTCCACCGTGGTTAGATGGTGGGTCGTAGCTCTCCTGCCCATTGACAATGATGGGCTCTTTGTCCAGGATCGCCACAGAGGTGACCAGGCTGGTGTTGGGGTCATCGGGGTCGAAGGGCAAAGGGTAGCCGCGGCACAATTCAAGGTCCACCATGGAGCTGATGGGAATGGACTGGAAGATCTTCACCACTTGGGCATGCGTGTACCCCAAGACGCAGGTGTCATTCACGCTCACAATCACATCCCCTGCAAGAAAGCAGAGGATGGCTTTTATGAGGTAAAGGAGAAGCTCCGTGACACCAGACAGCTAATAATTAAACAAAAATCTGCCTGTGTTTCCTTATTGCCATAGAAACTGTTGGAACCCACCTGTCTCCATCTTCCCATCCAGAGCTGCTGGGCCATCCAGAACCAGACTCTTAATCTGCAGGAACTCATCGGGCTCGTCTCCCCCGACCACGGTGAACCCAAATCCCCGGCGACTCTTCTTCAGTTTGGTGTGAATAAATGTCCCTTTAAGCTCAGAAGGGTTCCGGGTGAAGAACGGCTTTCCTCCTGGAATGGGTCACAAAAGCATAACTGTTTATGATACCAGGAATAAGCCTAACCTCAATGAATTAACATCACTGAAGGAAAACATTTTTGTTAATACAGCTGTTAGTTAAACATTAGTTGATATTGAAAGTGCGTAAAAGACTAACGGCATTAGTCACCCAATTAGCATTCACAAAGATCAAAAATTCAAATAAGATCCAAATACTCCCTATAGTGCTAAATCTGGGGTAAACAGACAAGATCTTTCTGAATATGGAAAGGAAGGCGGGAGGTATTCATTTCTGTCACTTGGGGTAAAAGACTCTAAGAACAAAAGCATTTCCAAAAATAAGCAGCAAGAAAGCTGAACCTATGCACTAAAGTCACGACTTGCGAAGGTCAGGCAGAGGGCACGCTGTCACTCTCTCACCACACAAGAATGACAAGATAAAGCATCACAAAGGATTTGCTTTAAAACAATGTATTACTCTGTCTTACTATCTTCCTAAGTGGTTGCATGCCATGGCTTGCCCATTTTCTTGTCTAATTCTGATATTGTGCAACTGACAGGATATTTCTACCTGTACCCATTAAGAGAGTATTAACCAGGAACTGAATCTGTCAGTCATGCTGGTTCTCAGAATCACTCTTGCACAGATAATGCAGAAACACACTATGTTTCTCTGATTGGACTCAAACAGCACTTTGAGTTATGACTGCATGAGAGAAGCAGGTCATCAAATATAAAGGGCATCATAACGCCCATGTAAGCCAGAGAGGGTACATTTTGCACAAGGGTTGATTTTTAAATCATCCTAAAGATGATTTAATGCTGTGCTATCAAACTGTACAGCAGAGGCTGAACATAATAAGCGAACGCCATAAGTGCTTTTCTGTTCCTAAACTAGGACACATAACTAAGGCTCTTCAGGTTAACTGCCTTGTTCAAGAACATGACAGAGGGTATGTTTTATGCAGGCTGCCCCGGCATTGTTTTGGTCCTTCAGTCACCACATGCATTCAACCCGGCCAAACACATGCTTATGCAATACTAGGTGTGTGATTTTCCCTGCTTTGTGGTATAGAGAATATGTTTAGAACATATTCTCTATCTCTGACAAAGCTACTAGTAAATCCAGCAGTACAATACACTACCAGTCACAGTAAATCAGTCTTTATGAAAGTTTAATGACAGAATAAAATGTGTACTGAAGATGGAGGATCAGCTGATACTTAAGTGAGACCTTCTAAAGCTCCGCCCCCACTGCATTTTCCTCGACTCCTATTGGCCACCTGTTCTTACACTGTGCTTTCTGGTCCTGTGCCACAGTGGCATTCACCAAGAAAACCACTCACGTTTGGGCCCCTGCGGGAGTGGCACTGCAGGGCCAGTCTGAGGGTCCCGATACGTTTCCAGGTGGTTGTTGGCATAGCTGGCAAGGGGTACCCCAGCTGCTGAGTGCTCCTCCATCCATTCTGAAGAGGGAAGAGAAATATTTCCTTGTGCGTCTGATGCCAGAAAACACACACACACACACACAGACGTTTGTAATTATATCTTTGTGGGGACTCTCCATTCATTCCTATGGGGAAAACTCTAATCCCAACATAACGACCTTAACCCCTACTCCACATAAGTAATCAAACAAAATATAAGACTTTTGGCTTTTTTTTGATTTTGATTGCATTCACAGATCTTTCTGGGGACCTGGAAAATGGTCCCCAAAATGTCAGAATAGCAGGTTTTATTACATTGTGGGGGACATTTGGTCTCCACAATGTAATATAAACCACACACACACACACACACACACACACAAGCATATGAACATATGTGGACAAACACTACCATAGATACTATTGCTGAGCCCATACAGAAACCGTATAGTCACGCGGAAGGCACGCACAAAATTATTCTGCTCACAAAATCAAGTGGCACATGGCTGATTAATGCGCACGTAAGCAATGACTGCAAATTAGGAAGCTCCAGCCTTTAGGTCCCACTGCCCCAGCCATAATTTGGCTTTAACTGTTCAAATTAGTTAGCTGGCTGAACATTCAAAGAGTCGCTGTATCTACAGCCGTATGGCATAGTTTAAAAAAAAAAATGGTGTGATGAAACACTTCTGCTCAACTTCTACACTGACGCAGACATTACACTTACAAATACTGGCAATGCAAAGCTTGTAAAAGCCACTGAAAGAAAAAGAAATCTTTAATGAGGGTTCATCCAAACATTACGTAACAACAATTGGCAGGACAATCAAACACAAGGGAAAAGAGAGAAGTGATGAAGGCCTGACTAGGAAGGAGCGGTGAAGACGGCGCTCACCTTCCGCAGACTGCTGCTGCTGGAGCTGCTTCTGTCGCTTGGCCTCCGCGACAGGATTCTCATACTGCGTCTTCCTATTAATGTGGCTAAGAGGTGAGAGGATTCCATTGGAAACTCCATAAAACACCATTTATGTCACTTCCACATAAGACAATCAAGACAGAGCGATAATGTTTTGATCCCCCACGTTTGTAACTGCTGACACTTTGATTGCAGTTATTATATCTACAGTACGTCAAATATGCATTTTATCATTGCTTTAAGGGCCGGTCTTAAAAGTCCGCCGAGAATTCAGTGACGAGTGGAAAGTAACGAGCTCCCTTCTTCAGGAATCGTGTGTGCATGTTGCATTGTCCTCCCAGTACAGTTGCGGTAGTGTCATTTAAAAACATTTTAAGAAAAAGAGGGCTTTTCTTAGATCCCTGTTTGTGCTTGGCTTCACTGGATTGCAGTGTTTAGTAATATGCCCATCACCATGTCTCACATCTGCAGAGGCCCCTTACATGCACTCTGAATGTCAAACTGCTCCGATTGCTTTCTCTGTAAATACTGCCCTAAATATTTTAGTGTTTACCCAACCCACATTTAACCATCTGATGATGTATTTTCAGGCATCCTACTGCTCATCTCTTAAAACTAAAAAATAGCTACAATTACAAAACAGCATTGGTAGGAATTTAAAAAACTAATAATGGCAGAAGATCTGTATTTTGTTTGGGTACTTAAGGTTATGGTTAGGGCTGGGTAGGGGTTAAGGTTGTTATAGATGGGGTTAGGGTTTTTCCCATAGAAATGAATGGATGGTCCCCACAAAGATATGAATGTGTGTGTGTGTTTCCATGCCCACCCAGGCTGTACCCCAAGCTGGTGCTCTGTGCAGCCTGGGAAAGGCTACGCCCCCCCTCCCCCCAGGAACCCGACCAGATTCAGTGCTTAGAAGTTAAGTGAAGAAAAGTGAAGGTGTCATGTATTCTTACAATAACTTGAGAAGAAGTTGGCAGCAAAGTACACCTTCAACAATGAAAAACGTTAATTGTCTGTCCTGTCAATATGGCATCAAAATTAAATTATGGATAGCCTTCAAAAGTAAAAAAAAACAAAAAAAAAAAAACAAACAAACTTACTCCACATAGTACACTCCAACCAAACAAACTTACTCCACATAGTACACTCCAACCAAACAAACTTACTCCACATAGTACACTCCAACCAAACAAACTTACTCCACATAGTATACTCCATAAACCGGATCATCAATTTTCTCCCATCCAGCAGGAAGTTCTAGAAAAAAGAAGAAAATACCACATTATTACTGCTCCAGTCCAGCAGTATAATATACTGCAAATAAACCTACAGCATAAGCACACTGTAGTAGCACAAAGTACATTAAAAAAAATTGACAATTATGAATTTCCAAAGCTGCAATAATTTCAAAATTTCAGTTAACCATCAACCATGGGGTGTATTACATGTGAATGTTCTTTTGTATTTCCATAATTATTGGCACTAAACTTTATTAAACACCAATTCAGCTTTAGTGATAACTCGTATACGAATATCAAAGAATTTTTTATTTCATTAAAAAAACATTTCTTACGAGGGAGTATTTCAGTGAGCAATGCACAAGAATTCATGTATTATACTATATCAGAAACAATTAGTGTAGTCAGTTTGTACCTCAAATAAAAATCACTATTATACGTTTTGGGTTAAAGGAGAGTGTTATGAGGGTCTGTAAAACAGGGGGCTAATCTATGTGTCTAAAATGGAGAAAGAGGTGAACAGACTTCCTGCAAGGACACTGGAAGAGAGCTTTGAGAAAATGGCAGCTGCTTCATTATGACAACTCATTGTCTATGGTGGGCTTGCACTGTAAACAATGATGCAGTGCTTTATCATTGCTGTCTTATCTTGTGTCACAGCTGGCACAAGCTCTTTACATCTCTCTCTGTCATTAACATTTCCCACAGCCGATACGCAATTCACCTGAAGTCATCCTTAAAATGCGTCCCTGAGGATTAACCCTCTACTGCACAGTGCTGACATGAGGAAAACAGAAAAAGTTTGGAGTTTGGAGGTCATAATTATTATTTTTTATTAGTAATTATATTTAAACAATATCAGAGAGCCTCCAGCTTGTACAAAACAGGATGGATCATTTTTTTATACTACAAATAAAAATCTGTGCAGTAGAGACTTAAAAAACGCATCAAAACACTCACCACCCCCACAGAGTGTCTGCAATGGGTCCAATTTCACAATCAATACTGTTTGGCTGCTCTTGTTTAATCTGTCTGAGGGACGCGTGGCCATATGACCGGACGCTTACGGCTGACAGGACGTCTGGGAATCCAGTGAATGTTGGATCTTCTCTACTGCAACACGAACCAGTCTATGTACCAGCTCTATGTATGAGTCATTAAAAAAAATCACCCAGACTTGACCACACTAATCTCCCATGTGCCCTCATAAAAATGCCATTCCTTTATAAATATGTTACTTAATTATTTATACATTTAATAAACGTTAAAGTGCAAAAAACCATCCAAAAACGATGGCCTCAGATTAATAATACATGCCCCAATATGGGAGATTGAGACTAAGAACCCATTTCTAAAAGAGTAAGAAACAACGATAAAAGCATCAAAGAGAAATTTGGGACCACCCACTGTCACACAGCCAGTGAAATGTCAATAGGAGAAAATCACAGTTTTCAAAAAAGGCTATTAAGAGGCACTCCCTTATAAAGAGGGGAAGAAGACCCTACCCAACTCATTATCCGGCTCTTCAGTGTGTACCCCTTCTTCTCCAAGGAGGCGGTTGCAGGTGTGTGCGGTGGACGAGCAGAAAGGAAATAGGGAGATACAGAATTAAGTGAAAAAACTGAGAGAGGCCTTGCTGGGTTACATTTTGATTTTATCAAATGCAGTTGGAGGCTAATAAAGGACACTGATTAGGGATCAACACCCAAAGAAATCATCTGACAGACTACAGGAGTGCCTAATGGAGATATTTCATCCAAGAGGGGGCAAATTTCAAAATACATGAATTTTATGTGGTTCAAATATACAGATTTTGCATAGATGCTGCCGTTTTAAAAATACATATTCTTAGTAAACAATGTTCTTACAAGGTTCTTCCGTGTGGAATAAATTTGTGTGTAGGAACTTGTATTTCAGCCAGAGAATGCAATCACTCTTATAGTGTTTTTAGTCAAACAAACTCAAAAATATGACTGTCAAAGCTCAATTGTACCATCTGTGGGTTACAGGAGTGTACTGCATCGGCCTGCAAACGTGTCCAAGCACTGCCAAATAGTGACACATCAAAACGAAAAGCACAGCATGCCCTACCGTCATCTTCACATTCTTCCAGCGGCTTCTGGAGCTTGTCCACGCACCTGGGGTCGATCCAGGATGTCGTCTTTGTGTTATGGCTGCAAAGATAACAGAGGTGTATGTGACCAATTCTTTGGGGTATGTGACAATTTCCTGAGTCACACAAGCAAGAGCATGTATGAGGTGCAGCTCGTGGAAGTCGCACCTGGAGATAGCTGTGTCACCTGGGTACCTCCTATTATTTATTGTGCAGCTTGCGCTACTTTTGGTTTTGTATTTTGCCCATTTATGCAGCTCTCAGAGGAATAGCTGAGATGAGAATTACAGAGCAATCAGATGCGCTGCTCGAGAAGACAAAAACAAGAAGTCCTCTGGAGATTTTAACAGAATATGTCTCAGTACTATATCTTCTGATATCTGTTACCAGCAGCTGCAACATACGTTGCCATGGCAGAGTCACCCTATGGCAGAGTCACCCTGTGGGAGAGTCACCCTGTGGCAGAGACAATGTATGGCAGAGTCACCCTGTGGGAGAGTCACCCTATGGGAGAGTCCCCCTATGGCAGAGACACTGTATGGCAGAGTCACCCTGCAGGAGAGTCCCCCTATGGCAGCGTCACCCTGCAGGAGAGTCCCCCTATGGCAGCGTCACCCTGCAGGAAAGTCCCCCTATGGCAGAGACACTGTATGGCAGAGTCACCCTGCAGGAGAGTCCCCCTATGGCAGAGACACTGTATGGCAGAGTCACCCTGCAGGAGAGTCCCCCTATGGCAGAGACACTGTATGGCAGAGGCACTCTATGGCAGAGTCCCCCTATGGCAGAGTCACCCTGCAGGAGAGTCCCCCTATGGCAATGCGGATGACCAACTGTCTGAATAGACCAGAGTACATTCACAGAACATTCGTTATTTTGCTGTACAACATGCTGTGCAGTACCCAGTACTATTTATTTCTGAACCATTACTACGGATTTCCGTGCAATACTTTTGCTGACATACTTGCACTGTTATGTTAATTATAATTTTTTTTTGTTACCATCTATTAATGTCAAAGTGTCTTTTTCACCGTCTAAATGTGTGTGTTGTGCTACTGCATTTTCCTTTGGGTCAACAAAGTATCCATGTATGCATGCATCCATTCATCCACAGGTCTTTCATTGAACACTGTCTGGCTTCATAATCTTTGCCAGTCTCTGGTTTGACAGTAAGACTCACTCTCTGTACCTACATCTGGCATATTTTGAGTACAGAATATTCAGCATTTTTGGTCCATTCTCAGACGAATTACAAGGCAATCTCTCTGTCATCTTTCTAGCCTTTCCGAGAATGAACCGACAGGCTATTGGAAGAAAAGCTGACATCAAAAGATTTTCAAGGAATTCATTTAAAATTTTCATGTTTTACAGTTTTGTAAATATTATACTGTACAATATGTTATAATTATTGTATCAAGCGAAATAATCTGTAATCTCCTGGGCACTGGTTTTAGCAAAATGCCCCATCTTTGAGTAGATACTATGTGTATCAGCAGTGTCCCCCATACTCTTAACTTCCATTCATGTTTTCCAGTATTCTTTCAACCGAAGTATGAAATTTATTGGGTTTTTATCCAGAAACAGCCAATTAACAACCACCATATGTACACTTCAGTATATGTATATATGTAGTCGACACATAGTACTTTAATGTGAGGACAGTGTATACACTATAAAGCAGACCTCTCTATGCCACGTGCCTGTGATGGACCGTCACCCTGTCCAGGGTGTCCCCTGCCATGTGCTG